GAACCGTCAAATCACAATGCAGCTTCACTTGATGAACAAACTAGGTTTCCAAAGCCTTGTCACAGCCAAATACACTTGCTTGAATGGAGCACACAGTTAGATAAGCAAGGTAACTCATGAACAGCTCCCAATAAGCTTAAACCCTGTTAGCATATATGATACCACAATTTATGGTATGACTTACCATAATAGCAGAGCTTTAAGGGTAAAAGGTTCACTTCACAATGCAGCTCCAAGAATGATCTGCAATTGCGTTCCACAGCTCTATATAGCTAAGATAAACTTGCTTAAGAGATAAACTCAGTGAAACCAGCAAGATATAGCAATGTAAGAACACAACAGCCTTATAATCTTCAAAACCCTAGTTTTAGCCTCTCAAGGGTAAAACTGGAATTTCACCAGAACCTGAAGTTAAACCTGGTTTCTGAAGCCTTGATAACTCAATACATACTTGCTCAACAGGTTGAAATAGTGTATGGAGCAAGATAAAATAATACAGGTTAAACGCTGGCTTTCAAGCTCTTCAAGGGTAAATCTGTCAAAACACATGAAACATGTGCTAATACAGGTTCTCACGGATTCACACAATCATTTTAATCTTTCACAGACGATGTTCTCAATTAACTCAGCAAGGATGGAACAATGTACCATAAAACTATAACCAAAAATAGCTCTCAGCAGGTTATGTTTGCAGCTCCTGTAAAGCCTCTGATCAGAGGGTATAAAAGTAATTCTGTGATGTCTCGGGCCTTAACAATGCTCTAATAATCTTGAATCATAATTATAAAAATGCTCAGATAGTCATTATAACGATTCAAACATGATATCTCAGGCTTAGTTCACATATCACAGAGATTAGGCTTAAAACCCTAGTTTATGAGGTTCACTATACCAGAACTTGAATGGGTCACGTTCTTGGTAAAGTATCAACTTTATTAGCTTTAAATCAACAATTTATTCATGCTTATATGGTGTACATGATGTTCACAGCATGAATTCAACATGTTTAACATATTTCAGTTGTATTTGCACCAGAAAAACACATTATACTGAGGTTAGAGACTTGTAAAACAAATGCAGCTAGGATATGAAGATAAACTTGATTTCTGAAAATGTAAATTGATAAAACAAACTTGCCTCAACCTTCACTTGGCACTACAAATGAAGCAAACCAGAGTTGCCCTTTCAATCCAGAATTCTGCACCAGAAAATCAGCTGCAACTGTCCCCTTCTTGATCTTCATATGAAGCACTCATGATAGATGATTTTTGGGATTAATTTTGGTTCTCTAGGTTAATTAAAATCCCAGAAATACTTGAGACCTTGAGCTTGCAACCTTGCTCAGAAATGCTCTCAAGGGCTCACATTAAGCTCTCTGGCTGCTGTAGCTATGAAGTCTATACAGCAGAACATACAAAGAGGCTTGATAGCTTGTTGTGTCTTTGTAGTGAGGTTTAGGTATTCAATATGTAGTGCAGCTCTAATTGGAGTTCAAGATATTTTCTCATAGCTTGATATCATCATATTAAACTTGCTTGTATCATCAAAACTCAATGCAATGCAAGTTAATAGCACAGATTAGTTCAATGACAGGTTTCAGCAAAACTTCTGCAGAATCATCTTATACATTCTGTATACTCTGTGACAAAAGGGCATCTTGGTAAATTTCCTTGAGACAGGGCCTTCTCGTGATTCTTATAAACTTGTTTCAACAAAGTAAGCTTGCATAGTTTATGATTAGCCCACAGAATACAAGTTATACACAGAAGTCTCTCAGGTTAGACTAATTTCTGCTGAAACCCTAGCTTACACAAGGTTGACATCTCTAAAACCTCTTGATCAATTTTCAGTGACCTCCCTTGTGAATGAATAGCCTTAAATTAACTTCATGATGATGTTCACAAGAAATCCACTCAAGCTCTGGCAAATTATTCAGCTTGTTCGAACTTGTTACAATCTTTACAAGCGAAGCTCAAGGTTGCTTTTGAATGAAAATGTTTAAGGACTTGGCCTCTTCTTGTTCAGGCTTATGAACATAAGAGGATTTCTTGCATCTTGTAGTTGGTACCATTTTAAGATTTTTGCAGACCATGAAAAAACTTTAGTATGGGCAAACATGCTTGAACGAAGCTTTGATTGGTTGAGTATATCAGATTTACATTCCGCTATTTCCAAGGACTCTTGAATAGTCCAATACTTGGCTCGATTCATTCGTACCCTTGACAAGATATCACTTTGACAATCCCAGATTAGCTTATTTTGCCTAACTGGTACAAAGTTCATATTGCTCACAAGTTTGGACATCCTTTCCATCTTATTCTGTAGAAGAGTGGATGTTCTTGTTATGTGGGTCATATAACATTTGTAATAAATTTTGAAATGTAAAACTTTTGAATTAAAAGAGTCGAAAAAATTCATAAATCATCTTGTGAAGTATCTTGTTTTTTCTTAAACTGGTCACCTGAAGGTTGATGGATATTTGGCAAAAATTCAGAGAGGTTTGCCATATATAGGAATCTTCCATCACATTGTCATTATAGTTGGGCTGATTTTCCTTGCTAGAGAAATGTATGTTGCTACTTGAGTGCAGCCTGAAAAAACTTGTGATACATACCCTAAGATCTTTAAATGATGTGAATATTTAAGCATTTTTCTATTTTATAACGAATAATTGAATCCATTTAGTCTACTATTATACAATTCAAACAACTCAATTCAACTAAGCTTTTTTCCAACTATATGGAGTTGGCCACTTGAATACTGTTTTGTCATCCCTCTCTAAGGCCATAATCTCAGTCAAACCCTATGCTATCATATCTTTCCTTATTATCTTTTTATATCAGCCCATGTTAGTTTTGGCTTTCCCTTGCACTATCTTCATTTTGGATACATCACTCTTCCTCTTGGTGCAATTATTCGTCTTTCATATTAATAGATCTTCTCTCATTTTTATCTCTGTAGATGCTACTTCAATTGTCTCAAGAATTTGTTCAGTTTTAATTCTATATCTTCTCGCCTTTCCATGTATCTATCTAAATATTCATTTCTGCCACACTCATTTATGATATTTCTACCATGATACAAAAAAAGACTACTATTATCTTCTCCATTATTGGGTGATCAAGTCATATTTTCTGGTTATGTTATCAAAATTTAAAACCTTATTGCTGACAGCAGACTAATATTTGGCAACCTATGCTTCTTATCTTACTTCAGGGGTGATAAAGAAGGGGATCGAAATTGTAGTGAGCTCACCAATGAAAAAGAAGAGCAAAGCAAGCATTTTGATGAGAAGCTGCTTTGGGAAATCCAGATGAAAAAATTGCAGCTGGGAGCTTGAAAACTTGAGAAACTAGCGAGTGTAACGTCGCTTCCACCAAAAGAAATGATACTGAAAATAAGAATGTTGGAAGAGATGCATAGGGGAAGAAACTTTGAAACCGGATAAATTTTGTAGACATAGGAAAGGAACGTTGCATGCGATCAAGCACTGCATTGTGAATGAAGTGGCTGATGTTGGTTAAGTCAGCATTAGCATGTCACAAGCATATTTGAATAATAAACATTTTTGAAAAAGAAGGCAGTTATAGATCTGTCAAGGATGGTTGCTTTTGTTTTATTTCTAATTATTTGTTTATTTTTTGATGGAAACTGCGAGATAGATATGAAACTTTGGTTAATAATCAATTCAATGTAAAAGAAAAACACATAGACGTAAGGGTTCTAATCTATTTTAATTGTCTAAAATAAATTGATGCAGTGGACTAGATTCAGAGTTGGAACTTTAGAGAGAAAATAGAGGAACTGGTACATAATTGACAGTAGCAGCAATTATATATATATATATATCAGAAATAATGGTAGAGCAAAAGCAAAGAGTATGGTCGACATTTAATTGATTCAGAAAAAATTAATCAAGAAATTAGCAGCAGAGTACTAAGCAGCAGCAGTCACACTACTGCCAACCAATCAAAACACAGCCAAATACACTTGCTTGAATGGTGTACACAGTTAGATAAGCAAGGTAACTCAAGAACAGCTCCCAATAGGCTTAAACCCTAAATTTAAGGGTAAAAGGGTCATTTCACAATGCAGCTCCAAGAATTATCTGCAATTGCCTTCCACAGCTCTATACAGCGAAGATACACTTGCGTAAGAGATAAAATCAGTGAAACCAGCAAGATATAGCAATGTAAGAACACAACAGCCTTATAATCTTCAAAACCTAGTTTTAGCCTCTCAAGGGTAAAACTGGAATTTCACCTGAACCTGAAGTTAAACCTGGTTTCCGCAGCCTTGATAACTCAATACATACTTGCTCAACAGGTTGAAACAGTGGATGGAGAAAGATAAAATAATCTCAGTTCACAATAGGCTTGAAACACATTAAACCCTAGCAACAGTAAAAACATCTTGTGAGAGTTTTTGATATTGCTGTGTTTAATCATGTTGGTATTCATCTCTATGCTTTGGTATTAGATGCTTCCCTTGTCAACATGAAGTCGAGAAAAATGCAGAGACATTAGGGTTCTAATCGATTTTAATTGTCTATTAAAGTCCGGAGTTGCAAGCATAAATTGATCCAGTGGACTAGAAATCAGAGTTGGAACTCCAGAGAGAAAATAGAGGAAGTGGAAGCTCAACTTTTTTCCCTTTGAAAGATGATACAACTGCCAAGTCCAAGTACTGTACATTTACACAAATAACATCATCTACAGAAATTAGCAGCAGTACACTACTGCCCTTGCAAAACAGAGGTGGAGAATGAGAATTGAAGATGGTAGGGGTTTTTTTTTTTTTTTTTCTCAATTAATTACCTATTGATTCTAGCAAGAAACCCGTGCACTCACATGACCAGCCTTTGACCTTCAAGGTGAAATCAGCTTACCAAGTAGCTTTAACATTGGTTCAGCATAGTAATAGCTCTTTTGTTAAGGCTGCAGTTATAACATATTAGAGCTTAAAAAAAAGGAAACAGAAGGAAAATTGAAAACTGACAATGCTAACAACCTCGGATCATAAATATATATACCTGCCCTCTTGGTACAGAAGTCCTTATTTCCAGTGATTACAAGTACAAAAGGTCTAAACACACCATTTTATACCATGAATGTTGAAGCAAAGGAAATATTTACAATATGTGTTCAATTTGGGACAATTAATCATCTTTAAAAGCAAAATTACAAAAACACCAAGGTGCCTTAGAATGTTCATCTGATTGATTCAGTAGCAGCCTCACTTTGAACAGTAACAGGACGAATCCATACAAAGTTGCACTTTGCCAGCCTCATCTTCGATCTGTTGGCCCTCTGCAGGAAGAGGGGTTGAGGGGATCCAGACCTGGTTTACTGGAACGCTGAATCCGACAGAATAAACCTGCTTGCACCTTCACTATAGCAGTCATCCATGCCAATGGCAACTGATCGGACTTTGTCTTCTCAGCACCATTTTACTTCTTCTCAGCCATGAATTCCTGAATTATATAGTTCAGCAAACTCGTCCCTCTCCAAATGATCATGTCTCTATGCCAACATTACAGAACTGTCAAGCTAAGTGGATAATAGCCAAATAGCGCTGCATAAAGGAGAGAACGAAGTGTTCATTATATGTGAAAATCTTTGGCAAGTATAAGAAGGAAGAAAAAGGGAAAAACTTACAGAGAATGATTGGAACATATAGTAGACAATGTTAGCATCCAACCTCTCCCGTATGGCCCTATTATCCCTTGGCAAAGCCAGCCCCTGTTCAATAGGTGAGACGCGATTGATGGTGTTTTTAAAACAGAATCATCCACCGTGACCATGCACTTAGGAAGGATGAACATTGGTGCCAAGGTTTAGCAGAGACCTGTTATCCAGAAATTGTCACAATCTGGATTTTTTTCTTCTTCTCAAGTAACTAGAATTTTTCCTAAGTATGAAGAATATTTGGGAGTAGTCAGGGAGTTTCATAAATAAATAAAAGTTCAGTTAATTCAATGGAAAAATCAGAGTAACTTAAAATTTCCAACAGCAATCATGGTATGGAAAATTGTAAAACAGGAGATAATAACACGTTCAATACCACTATATCAATTCCAAAATAAAGAAAAATTGAAACTTCCAGCATCAATACAAGATATATAAATAATATGCTAAAAACTTATTTTTGCTTGTTGAAAAGATCACAAAACTTAAATCTTTTTTCCCCTAGATCTCAATAACAGGAGGAATGCTGCAAAATAATCAAACTCCAGGAAAGGAATAACCTTACCATGGAAATTGGCCGTTATGATGAATCATTTCAATTTTTAGAATTGACATATTAACTAGGTTGAATGCTTCTAAAGAAAACCAAAGGACAACAAGAGGAAAATGAGATGCACAAACACCCACATGTGAGCGCGCACAATTTCTCTCTTTAAGTTTAAATATTCTTCCAACAAAAATAAGAGTTGCTTTATCCAAAAAGCCTTGGTGCAGAGCATGTTCAAAGTCCATTCATTATGGAGACTGTGCTTGAATATTCTGAATACATTCTAGCACTGCGGCACCCATGTGGGGCCCAAATACTTCTGATACGTAATGCCAGAAACGAAAATCTAAATTATTGTAACATATCAAAAAATGAAAACTGTGAAGTCCAAATGGTCATTCCATAGATAAGAATAGCTTGTTTTCCCAAAGCTCCTTATATTATTGGTCCATTCAGATAAATCCTTCATGGACTCAAGGTTACATCCTCCCAGTTCTTCAACTAAAATGGTTAATTTTATGAGAAAAACCAGATCTGAGATACAATCAAAATCAAATACAGTACTTCTAAAATAGATCTCTTCTCCTAGTTCTCTATCCTCCATCAAAACAAGTTGTTTCCTGCTTCCTCATGATGCTTAAGACAATCATCACAAACTCGTTTTGTAAAAGATGATTCCCAAATTCTATTAATATTTGGGGGGGAAAGGATTAGGTTACCAGGGAATACCTTTTCCATTAGTTGTTTGACGTTGCAACGAAGATTTGAGTTCTTGGATCACCTTTCACATTTATGTAGTAGGTAATCCTTAGCTTTTACCACCAGCAGCTAATCTTCCACATATCATTTAGATATCTCACTGAAAGTTTAATTTGAGTAGAAGATTGTACGAAATGGATGCTCAAACTTGGTGTGCAGAGTAGGAATCATTTCAAATGAACTCAAAATGCATAATTGCTATTGTACTCCAAATATTGTAATAGCAAATGAGGTGCAGCATCAAATTGAATGAATGCTATTGTACTCCAAATATTGTGAATGCTGCTGATGCACAATGTGGTTTCAAAACTTTCCATGAAGGCTAACTGCTAACAGTATCAGCCGAATTTAGCAATCTGAATAATCTGATTCATATTCTGAAAGCAGATTACAATCTGAATCATCTGATTCTCCATTTTTGAACCCATTGTCACTGAGTTCATTACTACAAACATCCTTAATCAATCCTCCTCAACAACAGAATCTCTGTTTCTCTTGCATAAGCCCCTGCTCCTATCCAGCAACCCTTCCTTCATCATACTTGCAAACTTTTCCCTGTTGTCAACAAGGGGGTATTTCTGGTTTACTTTATGACAGTTTGGGTGTAACGCTTCTTAGAAATGTATAACATGTCAGGATGGCGTTCAAACACCTTCATGAACGTCTGTGGCAAAGCCAGCGGTTTTCGGAGATTGCTCACATTCTTGTGCTCAGTTTCTTTTGTATGGGGATGTGGAGAAGCTCATGAAAGACACCAACAATCCTCTTCTCAGATACATCAGTACAGGGATCTAAGCATCCCATATGAAATGAGTTCAATTCTTGTTTAGTGAGTCGTCCTATCATAAATTGAAGGCTAAAACACTGTAAACACACAATACACGTAATGCCTGTACATACATAAACAGACCACATACACCCATGAGCACAATGAGAACCTTTAACATGTCTATAATTCAAAAACAACATTGTAAACGAGCAAGTACAATATATGTCCCTTGAATGTGTCATAAGTTTCTGAGTGATGCCGTAGACTTAGCACTGCTATGCTAGAGCAACAACAGGCCAGCTGAAGTGCACACCCATAAAAGATGCATTAAAATGAAATGTAGTCAGAACTTTATTTAAAGATAAGGAATCCAAAGTACTCTGAAGAGGATATAGTAGATTAGAGAGGCCTCATTGAATCCAAGAAGAACTTGGCTATATGAAGCAATCCAGCACTTTAAGCTGTAATTTTAATTTTTGATGTGCCAATTGAAAATTTCAGGTCAACATAAAAAAAGGAACATCAAAAGTAGCATGGTAACATGACACATCAAAACAAGATTAGTATCTTGCTATTCATGCAAAAATGGCAATAAAATGCCATGTAAAGTTTAAACCACCTTAGTACATCAAAATAGTTCATTTTGGTTGTATAGCTTCACAATCAAGGGAAAAATCGTACCTCAGGAGCAAAAGACCAGCATGCTTAAAAAGGTGAAAATATAGGAAAAACAGCACACAAGCACAGATATTCGGAATGGTCTCCTTTAAGTGATCATCTTGTAGGAGTTGTGGCTGCCATGCTAGCCTTATATACTATCCACAAAGATTATTAAATTGATATAGATAAAAGCAATCAAATCTGAAAGCAAAAATCATAAATTAACTCAATAATACAAACCCCGAAGGTGTATTTCTCAAGCCCATTCGAAAATCAAATTACGAATATCTTTTCAAGGACAAACATTCATTTGATTATAAACATAAATACTCAATAATCAACCAAATTATAAAGACGTGGTGTAAAGTCAAAATCTCCAATTAGATAGAAAGCTCTAAACATAAAGACAATTGTATAACCCAGAAATGCACCGAGGAGAATCACACAAACGTCTTTTGTTGACATCAGAGACCCGTTGAATTAATAAAGGGTGTATCAAAAAGATAAAAGCAAACACATTTGCAAAGGTTGGTCTTCAACTTCAAGGGAACAGAGTCGAGTTCAAAAAAAAATGAGACACATTCAATTTTTGGAGTAAAACCACGTTCCCAAATCATTATGAACAAAACTAAAATTTGTCTAAAACAATCAGACGATGGAGAACAAAAAATGAGCCAGTAAAGGAGTAAATTAAATGAATAAATGAAACCCACATAAAAATAAAAATAAAAACTTGAAAGCTCTGGAGAAACATGGAAATCGAGCACAAACATGTGGAAGCATATGTAACTCTCAAAATTGAAGCTCTCAATGTGAATTATCAGCCAAAATAAATAAATAAATAAATAAAAACTTCAACCAAACAAACAAAATCAACAATATAATCGAAATCTACGCCCTGACCTTTCTGCCGTGTCAATCTATGCCTTCGATGGTGAGGGAGAACGGTTGGAAACCGGAGAGAGAGAGAGGGAGAGGAGAGAGAGAGAGGGAGAGAGAGAGAGAGAGTATACTGGGTTGGGCTTTGGAGTTCAAGTTTGGACCAAATAGTATTACTCTGGTAACTGATGGTGGTACTGGGCTGGGCTTCGAAGTTCAAGGTTAGACAAAACCAGGTTAGGTTAACTATGCTTTTCATTACCAACCAGCTTATACTTGTCACCAATCAACCTTCGACCCTTCTCACTGTACCCGCATTGGAGATCAAATCATGCAAAACGCGCCACATCGACCGCATTGCAAATCAAACCATGCAAAACGTGCCACGTCACGCACTTACTAAACCGACATTGTTTTACATTTCAAAATTCACCTCTTGTAATTGTGTGGAAGTAATGTAAATGATGAAACCACTTTACACATATATATATATATATATATATATATATATATATGAAAATAATTTTATCTTATATTTCGAATTTCACCACTTGTAATGGTAAATTTTACTGAAATTTCAGTATCAGAAACTTGTAACATGAAGTACCCACACTGAAAAGAGGATTCCAGTTTTGTCTCTCAGGACAAATTATCTCTTTTTTTAATTTTTGGGAAGTTAATTTATGTAATAGTCGTATTGCTTCAAAAAAAAAAAAAAAAACGTAGAAAAAAAATTTATGTAGCTCACACTCATTAAATTATGTGTGAAACTAAATAAGGTGGATTGCAATACACGGCATGTTTCCTGTCATTCGGTGTATTGCTTCATTCGGTGTATTGTTCTGAGAAAGTCTGAAACTCACACTCATTGTGTGCTTTGGTCAAAGAATTTTCATTTCCAATCGTCCTACTCATTGAAAACTCTTGGGTTGTCTCACTGACGTGAGAAGTATAGAGAGAGATCAAAGAAAAAATCACAACTACAAAAATTGGTACGAATAATCACTTTTCATGGTGGATATTATTAGGATAATGTGTCAAATTATGTAATTATGTTTCTATTTTAGTGTAATTATTACTTTTTAAGTAGGGTGAATTACATTAAACCCTCTTTTTTTATCTGTGTTTTTTACTAAACCTCCATTTTCTATTTTTTTTGTCAAAAAACTCCTCTTCAACTATTAGAGGGGAGTGATTTAACTAACTTCCGTTAACTAACTATTAGATGGAGGTGATTTAATTCTCAAATATATATATAGCAAATAAATTTCAAGAAAAAAAACTTAGGCTTATATTCGAAAAAAAAATAAAAATTAGGCATTATTTCTGGTAGTGTCCCTTTAATAAATTTATATAAAATGAAAATTAATAAAAATCAAATAAATGAATGCACAATATAATTCTCAAATATATATCTATATATAGCAAATAAATTTCAAGAAAAAAAAACCTAGATTTATATTGGAAAAAAAAAACCATTACAACAACATGTACTTTTCTTCTTGTTCAACTTCTTTTATTTACCCATCATTATAATATTATATATAATTTGTATCATAATATAATAGTATATATAATATGTATCATTAAATATTATTTAAATATATTTTCATTTCCATTTAGCCTTCAGACCAATATAAGTCTAGGATTTTTTTTTTTATTTAGGAAAAAAATCTAGGTTTCTTTTTTTTTTTTTTTTTTTTTTTTTTACTTGAAATTAATTTGCTATATATATATATTTGAGAATTATATTGTGCATTCATTTATTTGGTTTTTTTTTTTTTTTCATTTTATATAGATTTATTAAAGGGACACTTCCAGAAATAATGCCTAATTTTTTTTTTTTCCAATATAAATTTAGGTTTTTTTTTTTTCTTGAAATTTATTTGTTATATATATATATTTGAGAATTAAATCACCCCCTCTAATAATTAGTTAACAGAAGTTAGTTAAATCACCCCCTTCTAATAGTTGAGGGAGGTTTTTTGACAAAAAAAAAAAAAAAAAAAATAGAAAAAGGAGTTTAGTGAAAAATATGGATAGAAAACGGAGATTTAATGTACTTTACCCTTTTCATACATTAAATATCATCTCTTTTCAATATTTACTGATCTTTTTTTCTTCCATCTAAACTTTCACATTTTCCCTCACACATTTTTTTTTTAATTCCCCTCTCGTTCAATTAAAATTACGACCAAGGAAATTCACATGTGAAAGTATCAATAAGTGATGCAAAGTTAACATGATTTGCAGGTAAGTTCATGTTTCAGGCGTTTAAAAAAATAAATAAATAAATAAATAAATAAAACATAAATAAGTGATGCAAAGTTAACATGATTTGCAGTAAGTTCATGTTTCAGGCGTTTAAAAAAAATAAAAAATAAAAAAAAATAAAAAAACATAAAATTGCAGTGCATGTGAGGGGATAGAGAGAAAAGTAAAAACACCATTTTGGTATTTTATCTTGTTTCAGTACTGTTTGGACAAATTTTCACTGTAGCGGAGGAAGTAGCCGGCCCAACTTGTTTCACGTATATAACATTTTAGGTCATTTTTTGGGCAAATTTTCTCTCTCCTCTCCTGATACTCTCTCTCTCTGCGATTCAAGGGCGATATCAAATACAACACCGAAGCTAGATTTTCATCACCACCGACCTAAGCCTACCTAAATTGAAGAAGATATGAGGTAGAAAAATCGAAGCGAAGAGTGAGAAACCTCAGAGAGGGCAAAACGGAGAGAAACGAAGAGAGTGGTGAAGCTCTCGGCAACCGCCACGGAGTCCCTCTCGACCACTTTGAGCGTTCCCAGAATCTCTTTCTGACCAAATTTTGTGGGTTTCGATTCACCAACTCCGTTATCTTCTTGATCTTCATGAGAATTCATTCTGGTGATGCGTTGTTGATTGCTAATTCGTTTCGGTATCTGAAATTAGGGTTTCTGAAGTGATCGTTGTTGTTATTTGAGCTTTGTGTGCGCCTCCTTCTTGTGCATCCATTTTCAGGTGGTTCTTTGAAGGTCACACCAGTTGGCTGCGAATTTGATCGTGAATCTGTGACCGATTAATGTTTGGGCAAGTTTTCAGTCCGAGCCCTTAACTGGATTTTCATCACCACCGATACATGTGTGTGTCTGTGTGTGTATATATATATATATATATATATATATATATATTTTAATTTTTGCAATAAAGATATTACATGTGTATATAAACTAGTTTATAGCAAAAATTAAAATATATATATATATATATATATAAATATTTGTGTGCCCAAACATGTTTTTCATATTTTTATTTCTGACATTTTCACAACAAAGCATAGTTCCTAAACGTACTTCCGAATTTTCACCAAAACTTTCTACAACAAAAACACTGTTTCTGTTTTAGCCAAAAATAAAACGCCAAAAACAAAACGCATGCCAAACGGGCCCTTAGCTAATAATGATAAAGTAGCCCTTAATGAGGTAGAGACACTTAATGTGGTACATGCAAAGGAGCATGATGAAATGGGTGCTCGTGTAGAGACCCAGTTAGCTAAAAGTGTTAAAATGAGACACCTGCCAAAGAGCACGATGAATGATGAAAAGGGTACTCTTGAAGAGACCCAATTAGTTAACAGTGATAAAGTTGCCCTTGATAAAACATATGCCCTTTATATGGCAAAGAGACCTGACGAGGTCAAGTTAGCTAACTATGATAATGTTGCAAATATATCTAGAAATATTGAGATCTCAATGAATTATGAAAAGAAATGGAACAGAAATAAAATTGTCATGGACACTAGATATCTTTGCATAATTCATTGAGGTTCCATTTCTCTTATACAATTACTCTTAATATAAATAACGAGAATCCGAAACCTCAAAATGTCGAAAAAAGTCGACAAAAACATGATTGACCATCTTGGAAAAGAGCAATACAGGTAGAGCTAACTGTACTAGTTAGATAAAAAGTCTTTGGATTTGTGGTCTAAACACTTGAGGGTGTAAAGCATGTTGAGTACAAATGAGTATTTGTACAAAAATGGAATGAGAATAATGAGATTATAAGATTTAAAGCCCGACTGGTAGCTCAAGGTTTTCACAGAGACCTGATATTGCTCATGAAGAGATATACTCTTCTATGATAGATGAAAGAGGTTATATCAAAAGTGATAGGACCAAACACATCTCACCAAAATTCTTTTATGCACACAAACACCAAAAGAATGGTAAAATTGATATTTAGCAAATACATTCATGTGAAAATTTAACAAACCTGTTCACTAAGGCACTGCCAACCACAATGTTCAAGAAATTGGTACATAACAATGGGATGCGACAACTGAAAGATCTTTGGCACTAATGAGGGGGATTTCTTAATTGAAAAGGTTTTGACATATACTGTACTTTTTTTCCTTCGCTCAAGTTTTGTCCCAATAAATTTTTAATCTTGATAAAATTTTAATGAGACATATTCTTAGTATAACGTGACGGAGTCCATAAAGGAGTGTTATAACAGATCCACATCCTTTAATGCACTGTCAGTGTATACAAATGAAAATGTGAATTGTAGGCTGCAACTTCCATTAGTCATGATTACACTAAAAGGCTACGCACGAAGGAAGAATAGTTGATTGGTGTAGTGATGCAATGGGTAGTGGATGCCGAAATAAAAAGCGGCAAGTATTTAGAGTACAAATTGTAATTGTACATTACTAATTCAGTCGGTTGGATGTCTATATATATGTATGTGTATCATTCAATGATGAATAAGAGAAACTATCAGCTATTCACTCTCTCTCTCTCTCTTGTTGTTCTTTCAGCTTTTGATTTCTATACTTTGATATTATTTCTATTACAACAAAAAACAAACAAACCGACTCCATTTCGTGTATCAAATCCATTATAGGTCCTTTTTTTTTTTTGTTTGGACTTCTTATATGTCTTTCAAGACCACCTGATCATCATTATTACTAATCAAACTATGTATTTTAATAATTTTGTATCAATACAAACAAAGTAAAAAAAACATCTTTATAACTATAAATGTTTTTAATGTTTTATCAGCATAACACTTTATATTATTTTTCTAAAAAAGAAAAAATACCTGAGAGTATGTTTGATGGCGCACCAATCTTGGATTTGGGTTTAAAAAAAAAAAATTATTACAAATTTTGAACTAAACTTCCTCCAATCTCAAATCTAAAGCAAATTTGGTACTTCCAAATATAACATAAAATATTTTCATATTTTTGTATTACATTATGCTATTTCAAAAGTATAAAAGGTAATTGAATAAAAACTCAATATAAATCTTACAAAATTGAAATAATTCATGAAGTTTGTTCTTTTGACAATTTTTTCCATATATCCTTACTCAAAAAATAAAAAGGAAAAAAATTACTTGCCAATAACAAAAACTTTTAAATAAATATTTTTCATTAAGTATTATAAAAAATAGAGACGGGTACAACATGGTATTATTTTTAAAGTTAAAAATGGGAGCCCAAAATTTTTGAGGCCTACGGGCCAGCACAGACTTTTTTATTCTGCTTAAACCCCAATAAAACCCCTCTGTGTCACCATCGAAACCCATTTTGCTTTCAAAGCAAAGCAAATAGACCCTGAAAGTTTTCTTTTCCACTTTGATTTCGGAAAGAAAATCAGAGCAAACGTATCGATCTTGTTGAACGATCTATAGCCATGGTTGTAGATCGAGTGGTTGGAGTTTAGCGAGTGGACTCAGCTGGTGCTTTTCTGTTGGAGTATACCGAGTGGACTCGGTTGATCAAAGCATATGATGACAAGGGAATCGTCGACGAACCTACCTTGAGAAATCGAGATGGACATCTTCTCTAGACTTCCAGTTAAATCTCTTTTGAGATTTAGGTGCGTATCCAAACATCTCTGTTCTTTAATTTCTGATCCGTATTTCGTCAAATTGCATCTCAATCGATCAATTCTCTCCAAGAACTCCCAGCAAATGTTTTGCCCTAATTCCACTCCCCAATCAATAGACTATGAGCCATTATTTGACAGCAACCACAACAACGATGATATTAATAATGATAATAATAATGCAATAGTTCAGTTGGATTGTCCATTCTGGAATATGGCTGTCCATGTAATGAATTCTTGCCATGGTTTGATTTGTTATGTTGTTATTGGACGCAAAATTATTTTATACAACCCTTCTACTAGAGTGTCCAAGGAATTGCCAACACCAATGCGGAGTCTTGATTATTTGGGTTTTATTTTGACTCCTCGGATGATGATTACAAGATAGTTATGCTAACTAAGGACCCTTTTGATGCAACTGAAAGTTTCGGATTCAATATGTTTAGTGTTAGATTCAATTCTTGGAGAATGCAAGACGGTGAGTTGTAGTTATGATCTGACATTTCCAATGCGTAGAGATGAAATCTTCTTAAATGGAGCTTTGCATTGGCTACAACAGCTTTCTTTTGATGTATCAAATGAGGTATTTAGTGAGACGTCCCTAGATGGTATTCATGACGAAAATTCGTTGATTTACAGATGGATGGATTTCAGATTTGGGGCTTTCGAAGAATCTTTGTATGTACTTTTTTCCCATATTTTGGTGATGCCCCTGTTGAGGTGTGGTTGACGAAGGAATATGGTGTGATGGCATCTTGGACTAAGTTAATCTCTATCGCATATCACATGGACACTCCCTTCGCACCGTTATGTTTCTTGAGAAATGGTGAACTTCTACTGATGACTAGCGGTGATCGGTCAAGACATCGGGCAAACTTTGGATCATACAATTCTAAAGAAAAAACATTTACGAAAATTTGTAATTGTCCTTTTTCTCAAGCGGTTTTGTATGTGGAGAGTCTAGTTTCACTTAATAGCATTGATGAGAATGGCGAGTTTCCCGTGCAGGGGCCAATCCCAAAAGCAGTGATGGGGCCAATCCCAAAAGCAGTGATGATGATGTTGGCGTGGTTGATTTACATTTTGTGGTTTTTCATTCCCTGCCAATAGATGGATGTTGAATCTTGGATGTCATACTTGGAAAGGAAAAACTGTTTGCCTTCGACATTATACCTAAATACTGATCTGCAATTAGTGTGCTGATTTTCTTTTTTTTCCCTGGTGAATGGTATGTTGAAAATCTATGTTAGTTATATATTGAAAATTAGACAAAGACGATTAAACTATTTGAGCTGTGATTATTTTGATGGAAATTTGTGCATGTGTTTTTTGTCTTTTTTTTGTGAGGTTTTCATTTTACTTTTTAATATATGTTAAAGTTGTTTGTGTTCAAGCCACATAATTAGATTTCTACAATTAGGATGGTATAATTATATGTTAAATTCAATGCATTCACCATTTTTCCATATTAGACGTGGTTGATTAAACCAACAGTATTGAATGGGGTTTTCAACTTGAACAGAATTAGTCATTCCTCAACAAAAAATTCTGAGATGCAATCCTATTGTTAGTTTCCTGAATATTTAATTTTGTATAATGAATCTCTATTGATGTACTCACCTTTAGCAGTAATCTCCAGATTGATGAACCTTTTATCTTTCTTTCTTTTTTTATTATTTATTATTTTTTATTGTTTGGTAATTTGAATCTAGCATGACATGGTTATGAATTAATGACATGATTATGTTATTTGCTTATATCTATGAATAACCTTAATAAACCTTGTTTTGCATCTTAGCGGAAAAGTATATTCTACTATTCTGGTTGTCTTTCACGAGGAAGGCAATGATTTTGCTGAGATGCTATTGCAACGCCTTGAGAGGGAACTCTAACTAGATCCTTGGAAGTATGCTAAGGTTTTATGAGTCTGCTGTAGGCCAAAAAGGGTCATTTACCCGTTATGATTCCTGTTAATCAAGGGTGCTGACAGGAATATATTAGATATAAACCTAATCTTTGGCATTTGAACCCACCTTATCATGCTTGAAAACGAGCATTTCAACTCTGCACTAAATAATATCCTGTTGCATGTTTGTCTACAAACTACATAAACTTATTTTCTTGCATAATTCTCTGCACACGGACTTTTGCATGTAGATGGGTGCAGGCATCCAGTAAAGGTGTGTGTTTTGGGATGCATAATCTCCAAGAATGATGATCCTAGTCAGTTGTTTATTTATTTTTTAATTTTTGAAAAGGTGCAGTGAATATTTCACAGCAATAGCAAAATCTTACATCCATACTTGGGGCATACCCCAAGAAAACAAATACAATTGGTGCAGGTTGAGCTGGGCTTCGTTTTCTTGCTTTTAACAATGAAGTTAATGTACATAAACTTGGTGCAGATTGTTTATTTATGTGTGTAACCTTTTTGGAGTGAAAGCCAATGCTTCATTGGCAGCTTTGCATTGGGCTATTGATCATGGCTTATTTTATAGAATTAGGATCCCGTCCTGTGCACTGGACTGCTCACTGCTCTAGTGTATATTATATTTGTGTGTATATTATTACACAGGTGGATGGCTTTTTTTCAGCCGCTTGCAAGAGGTGCCAGATTGTTGTTCAAGTGGCACCTTTTGCACATTATATCCATTCTTTATGTCCCAAATGTGTCGTCGTCTTGACACAGTTGTGATACACCCCCAAATAATATGATAGTGGACACGCCGGAAGAAAACCCGGAATGCAAAACAGAGGCACCAAAACACCACAATAGATTGAAAATCTAGTCACCAATTGCGTACAGGCCGTAGGACTAAAAGCAACAACACCCAAACAATCCCCATATTCCATGGCTACTACCTCAGTGCTTAGAAGAGATACCTATCATGGAAACCTAGATCAACATCGTGACTAGACATAACCTAAAACAAAACATAGACATATTCAAAACTAAAAGGGAAATAAAATAAACCGACACAATACCGGGATCAAAGGGGAAGAGCGGCGGAGATTGGCCGATTTGCTGACTACCGTTCAAAGCACTCGATCAGAAAATCCACAAGACACATGAGGCCAACCTAGCCAACCACCTGCAGAAGCAACTGTCTGGATTTTTCAAGGAAGCCATCCCATCGAAACGTAACATATTGGAGAAAAACTAACTCTGACAAATAGAGAACCCACTACAGTGAGAGGAACCGACCTCTACAGGGAGACTGTGTCATGTGGATTTTCTTATGTGGAATTTCTGAAATTTTGAGATTGTGTCCTTCCATTCCTTAACTTGGATCTGCCTCTGTTTTTATTACCGTTGCCCTTATTCTTGTTTAAACCATTGCCTCTGCTTTCAACATTCAATGCCGAACCACTAGTGGAATTTCCTGTTGTTTGTCTTTTGATTTCTTCAGTCAGAATCATACTCGATCACAACTTCGTCAAACTTTAACTTGGTGTTCCTTGCAGAGCTACTGATCGCTGTAACTGTGCCACTTCAATTCTCTGGTAATTGTCCTAAAATTAGCAGTGCTCAAACCTCGTCTTTGAATTCGATATCAACAGATACTGATTGCCCAACTATCTCGTTAAACGCATTGAGATGTTCGTTGAACTTACAACATTCGACAATTTTCATGTTAAACAAATTCTTGATCAAGTGCACCTTGTTCGCTGTAGAAGGTTGTTTGTACATACTAGAAATAATTTGCCATGAGAGACTTTGTTATCTTCTCATTCTTGAGCCTTCCTGTCAAGTAATTCACATTCTGCATCCTTCGTATCCTCTGGCTTCTCTTTCAAAGAGTGATACATATTTTTCTAAAACAAAGGTCTTCTATTTACATCTTCTAAAAATCGGAGTTGTGCTATCGAACTTCTCGATCATAGATGTGAATGTTTTATCTTCTGATACCATTACTCCCACTCGAACGGACAGATCGATCTGATTGAAAGACTTTCGAAATTTTGCTAAATGCCTTCTGTGCCATATGTTCTCAACCAAAGGCTCTATTACCAGTTGTTGGAGTTACTCTGCACAATCAACTGGATCCTTTGATACCAGTTGTTGTGCCGGAAACGCAAAATAAACAATGTTGTTCGAGAAATAATCAAGCAATCACGAAGGATAAAAAAAAAAAATCACACACAAGAACATAAGATATACATGGTTCACCCAAATCTTAGAGCTACGTCCATGGAGTGCACCGAACAAATTTACTATGAAAAAGATGAAGAATTACAATGGAGAATTTTCTCTCAATCTCTCTCGATTCTCTCTCTTGTGTTGGCACAAATTAATCATTCATACAACACATATGATGACCCTCTCTTATTCATTCTATTTTTTCTGCACTTTTCTTCACATTCTAAAATCTTATTAGAGTTTATATATATATAAACTCAAAAAAAAATTGTCCTACAATAAATTGTCTTTTGTAGAGTTCAAAATCAATAAGGAAGTTAGAACAGATTAGAAAATTGAAGTTACCAAATAACAAAACAGACTCAACAAAACCACAACAGACATAGTTCTGGGTTTCTGCAACATCTGCGAAAAGAAGTAATTAAAGAAGTAAAGATTACATTTCCACTATATTTATTCTTTCAATTGAAAGATAATGTGTTGTCTATTATTATTTTGGTAGATGATAAATTTTGAGGGTCCAAACCTAACACTAATTTGTTGGGTATCGGAGACAAATATCAAAAATAGAAAAATAATAAAATAATAAAATAAAAAAGTCACTTCATTTAGAAGACAGCCCTTTTACATAAAAGAGAGCCGGACAAGAAAAGAAGTAAACGAAGAAAACAACATAATTATGTCTTAATCAATAGAAATTATTGTTTAGGTTCGAAACCATTGATACCAATCCATCAATAATTGACATTCAATATGCCAATTTGTGATTGGTCCAGTAAGTGTTAAGACCATGTAATTAGATCATTGTTTTAAACTTTGTACATCAAATTTTCCATTTTGATAAAATATGTATATAAAACCCTAGATGCAGTACCCATTCAAATTTTATCATGGTACCGCAAGAAGATAAAAGACATTTGACTTTGTTAATTGATACTCATAAGATGCTGGAGGGTTGTTCTCACCCTAATAACTATTCACTCTCAACGTTTGTTAACTACAAATGAGACTCACCTAGTTTATATGGCATCATCCCATCCAATTCACGAATAGGATGTATTACAATCAATGACCAACCTCTACAAGACTTCATATCCCTCATAATTCTTTTTAATCTACTAATTCATACACTTTTTCCAAGGTTCTAGAATTCTCCAACTCTCCCTACATCCTACAATTGTCGACACTTGTGGAAGATACTTGAACAAACATGCGCTTACATAGTGCATGTAGCTGCCATACAGATCCTTGAAAAATAAAAATAAAAAAAGAGGAGTGCTCCAAATAATTTCCTTTTTTAAATCACTTTAATTATTGTGATTAGTCAAAACTCAAAAGAGTTAAATTATTAACAATGCTGATGTTGGCCTTTGGGTTATTCCTTATCTACCTAGATCACTTTGTAACTTGGCAATGGATATGAGCTAATTGGAAAATTTTGAATTCACCACCAATTCGTAGGATAAAGGATCGGATCGAATCTGTTGAATGGTGAATCGAATCGAATTGAATTCGCGGATTGAGATTTTTTTTAAATAATCCAATATTATTTATTTTTTAACCATAACCTAAGAGATAAAATTTCAATTTATCACAATTAATTCATATATTTAAATAATCTTTAACTAATACATTTTTAGAGTCCATTAAGTGATCATCAACTAATTAAATTAACTAATACATTCTTTGAATATATATATATATATCAAGGATCGGATCAAATTGAACTCATGGATCAAATTTTTAAAAGCACAATTTGTAATCCGATCCATGAGCTACAAAATCGATTTTTTTTTATCTGCCACCGATCTATGGGTATAGCAATCTTATCCGATCTGCACGGATCGGATTTTTAACAACACAATTCGTGATTCGATCCATGAGCTACGAAATCAATTTTTTTTAATCCACCACCGATACATAGGTGTAGCAATCCCATCTGATTTGCACGGATCGGATCGGATCGAATTCGCGAACTCACAGATTATTTGTCCACCCCTAGTTTTAGGGCGGTCATCTATTTATAATCATTTGGACAATACTTAAGTCCTCGTCATTGAGGATTTACGTTATCATTTTTGCTATCTCCACTTTGCACTTATACATGCATTTGACATCAAACCAGACATTTTCGACACTTTTTCTTTTCGAAACAACCATCTCAGTCATTCTCTACCACTTTTGACACAAAAACCAAATTTTGGATTTATGAAAGATGAATATCTGCGAAAGCATTTGCGAGTAATGTTTTAATTAATTAAGAACGAAAGTTGGGGGCTAGAAAACGATATGGAGTGGCTCATTTTGACAAACGTGTCATTTTTGGAAAAATATGTTATGTTTGGTAGGTTAAAATTTTTGGAGCGGTTGATGTAATGTGACAAATGAGCATTATATCCTAACCGCGGATATGAACTAATAACAAATGAACGCATCTTTTTTTAATTAACAAATCATAAATGGTAATTAATTCTATAAGTAAGTATGTACCCGTCATATTTGATTTGATAATTAAAAAAAACATATTCATATATTATTAGTTCACATTAATAATAAGATGGTGTATATCTTTATCATTAATACTGTCCTTATCATTTTACCCCATAATATTTACAAGGGACGAGATCCTTTAAACGTTCTCTAAGTGCATGGTTCTTAAGTTCAACTTTTTTCAATTTGACACTATTCTCTGTCAACTTCAAATTACAAAGTTTCCATATACTTGGGCCCAAATACCACTGTCATTCTTTTTAGATTCCAAACAACAATCCCATTCCTCCCGGCCATCTCTCTCAAAATCTGTTAATGTCTTTATTTTTCTTTTTAAAAATTCATTAATGATAAAGTTTTGATTTTATTTGGAAAAAATTTCCTGCTGATTTATTATAAAATTAATGACAAAATGATACCAAAGGCATGAAGAGCTTGAAGATATATAGAACATGTAAAAAAATTTATGTCTTCGATTCAAGAACACCCCTTTATAACTATGAACAATTACAATATACTCACGGTTAATATGGACCAATAATAAATAGACACGTCCTATTTTAATTACCAAATAACAATTGATTAGTAATGTTCACTAATTTGTAATTGACCAAATTCAGTAAATTAATGAATACTGTTTGCAATTGAATTAGGGAAAACAATATATAAGTGGATTAGGAGTTCTAAATAACAAATTGATCAATTTGAAAAGTTAATTTTTCACATTGATTGAATTAAACAAAATAATTACAAATGCATCCAGAATTATTGCTGAGGTCTAAAATGTCCTCACACTCTTATTACAAAATACAAAAATATCATTTTTAAGTCTATCTAATTTCAAATATTAAAACAAATAATTAAGAATTAGTTTAACTATATATGCCAAAACTATAATTTGATTTATTAAGGATCTCATATCCTGTTGTACGGTAGGGTAATGAAGTATTGGAATATCCATCTGCCTTGCTTTTTTGTTGTCAAGAGGTCTCTAGTTGTTTGTTTCCTTCTTCAATCAATTATAAAAAATCACAACAAATTTTGAGATGCCAAATTGATAACCCTCTTCAAGAACCCTAAATTCATAAGGTACAACATACTTCTAAGGCTTACAAAGTCATAGATCTGAACTCCTAAACAAAAATAATTACATATTTATATTTTTATATGTGTATGTGAAGAGAGAAAGGGAGAGGGACCTAAAAGACTTGCAAGGTGGGTGGTGCCCTCAGCGTTGGTGGCTGATTGACGACAAAAATAAGTGATAGAGAATTATTATTCGCTAGTCAAACTAATTTTTAATTATCTATTTTACTATATTAAAATTATAATGTTTTAAGGAGGATATTTTGTTATTTTGAAATAAGAGTGTGGGGATGTTTTGGACCTGAGCAATAAATATTGATGTATTTGTAATATTTTGCTTAATCCAATCAAACTAGAAAATTAACTTTTAAAACTAATCAATTTATTATTTAGTACTCCTAACTTCACGTGTAGTTGTCCATATATGTACTGCTCAACCCTGCTACTGCAAAACCCTAGCTTTCCTGACCAAAATCAACGCACCCAGGAGTCTCACCAGCAAGACAATATTAAAATGACTTGCGAAGACTAACTTTCTGATGAATCTCGGATGGCCGAGGAATCTCACTATCATTTGAGTCAGATGAGGACCCCTTTGAATGTCTGCATTATCCTGCTAAACATGAAGATCTTTACCGCAGGTACGAACTGTACAAATGCACTAATTTTGTTTTTTCAGACAGGTTTCACAATTATTCACTTCTTCATCAACAACTGTTTGGGATATTTATGTTTCATGTTGTCTTAAAGTACTTATAACTAATTCGAATTCCTCCTCTTGAATTTTCTTTTGATTGCAACAAATATCTTATTATGATGTGGCTGCTAAAGTATGTACCATGAAGCCATGGAGTCAGTGGTTCAAACTTTAGGTGATATTTAAGTCTTATTTCTCAACTCAAAATATATATATATATATCATTATTGCATGAATGTATATGATAAAGACCCAAATAATGGAAACAATATTTACTACACTCTTTACAACTTCTCTTACTATTATCACTCTTTTTTTCTTGCATGGAAAGGGATATCCAAGCAAATTCAGTGAAGGTCAAAGGACGTAATTTTAATTCAGTAGACCCTCCTTGCGGTTTGTCCAAGACAAAGGTAAGATTTTCAGTATAAAATGTTGTTGATGTTAATTTTTATTTATTTATTTATTTTATTTATTTATGTTAATTGTGTCATCTTGCTTTGTGCACATTATACCAAAGGTTGTATCTATACCTATTTCATCCCCACTGTCACTCTCGATTAACGGAGAGACCACACTTGAAAATGACCCTTCAGTGTTTTGTTGATCAAAGAGTTGTTCGTGTGGGAATTAAACAAGTACATTATCATTTCAATGATACAATTTGTCACGAATTTTCAAAATAAAGCTTCATTGGAAGAGAACAAATTATGTTAGTGTTGATTCTAGTATCGCCAAAGCTGCTTTGTATATTTACCAATATGTAGCTAAGAAGTATACATGTACACACACATACGCATTCATGTGAGTGATTGTGGGTATGGGTAATGCCACATCACCCCAGGTCAACACTTTGAGACGACACATCAGCAGTCAAGGTCAAAATAAACCAACCAATATCATAGCAAAGATCAACCACAAATCACCAAACAAAAACAAGTACAGTCTGTCAATCGAATGACCTAGAGCCTTGATCCATCCCCTCCCACTTAGACATCGAGCAACCCAGAGCCTTGAATGTGTCAGGATCATTCAGTCGATCAAAGGACTTAGAGCCTTGATTTGACTCCTACCACTTGAACATCGAGCAACCCAGAGCTTCAAATGCGCCATCATCCAGTCGATCGAAGGACCCAGAGGCGCCTCAATCCGACTCATGCCACCTAGACATCGAGCCACCCAGGGCCTTGAATGTGCCAAGTCCACCTAGTCGATCGAAGGACCCAAAGCCCCAATCTGACTCCCACCACCTGAAGATCGAGCAACCCAGAGCCTTGAATGTACCGGTCATCTAGTCGATCGAAAGACCCAGAGCCTTGATCCGACTCCCACCCACCTGAAATTTTCAAAAGATTTCATTTTCCTGATAACGTTGATCCATCTTATCTAAACTGGTGAATTTGGTTACAACTCAACCACTCCTTGTGGTTAAAAAAAATCTCCTTTATTAAGAGATTTCTCCTCGTACCAGTGTTTTCTGCAGTATATCAATATTATATGGAGGTTATTTGCACTTAATTCAAAAGTTTATTGGAGAGAATTTTGATCCATATATTAATTAAATTAATCATTGAAATTTGCATTGCAAGGACAAAAAGCTATACGGACTTTTCTACGTCAAAGTATGCAGCCCAAATTTGGAGAGCCAAAGAGGTCCAATGGGATCTTAGAAAGTGGGCCCCAAAGTTTTGCATTTGGAACTGCTCTTAGATGTATTCCTACCGTTTTTTTTTCGTTTTTTTTTTTGTTTCAAACAGTCCAATTCCAGAATTTGGTCGACCGTCTTATGGGCATGTTTGGCCCATACCGAAATCCAAAAACTATTTTTTTGGGCCCTTTTTTAGGTATTGTTTCGCTGATACAAATAGTACGTAAACCGCTTTATTAGAAAGAAAAACAAGATATTGATTTTCAATTTTTTTTTTTTTCAGCACTTGGACTAAAATAAGAGCAGTAAGGCCCATAACAGTGCCTAAATAGCTTTATTGACCCAAAAAAATTATAATATTAAAATAAAAATTTTTTTTTTTTTTGAACTATTATAAATAAATGGTGCTAATGACTCATACTTACCATTTAATAGAGTCAAAGTCTTATAGTTTTGAAAAAATAAAATTGACCAAAATACTGACATGGATATAAAAAAATAAGGTTTATCCTCACTGAGATACCACTTTTAGGCACGGAGATACCTGATATATAAAAAGTGGTACATCCGTGCACAAGAGATACCTGATGTATAAAAAGTGGTAAATCCGTGCACAAAAAGTGATACCTATGTACCTAAAAGTGACACTTGAATACTTGATGTATAAAAAGTGTAATTGGACTACAGATTCTAGAGGTCCCTTTGTTTTTTTTTTTTTTTTCGAATGATGAAGCAATATGTATCTATATATAAATTGAAGGTTACATTTGGGCCCAAGGAGGGCCCAAAAGAGAAAGAAACGATTACAATGTTGCCAACTGAAGAACCCATATAGGCCCAAAGATGAAGAAGCCCAATGATGAAACAGTAAAAGATAGCCAATTGATAACAGCTCAAATTGCCGTTATGAATGGATATATTCCAACATATTCCGGTGACAAGGCCATTAACAGCCACACGACGATGAAAGGCACCGCTCTCGCTCAGTCTGGAGGCATTGGTGGTAGTCGGTTACTGGACGGAGAGCAAACCCACTCCTGTGCAAGTTGTAAGAGGATATCTTTGTTCCGAGGTCGCAGCGTACTTGCAACGGAATTTCAAACCAACTTCAAGACTCAGGATTGCGTAGAAGGTGAGTTCCTAAAAACCCCGTTTTGTTCCTTTCTTGCCAAATATGGTCGACCATGGAAGCTAGGGCAAGCCGACATTCTGCATTCCTAGGGTTTCCTTGGTTCCAGTGATTGTTTGCCAAATTAACAAATTGGGGCCAATTGTTGCTTCTTCTATAACATCTACATTTATCTTGAACACATAACCACATTCAAATTAAGAAGAGATGAGAGTGCGTTTCAGGTTTGAAAGAGCAGAAATGACATATGTTGTTTGATTGAAGGTATGAATACACTTGGAGTCAAGGGTTGAGAGCTTAGATTCAACAGCAATCCATAGGATCATCTTCTTTCTGGGGATGGCCATCGAACTCCACACATTCCTAGACCATGGAACTGGAATGTAGGATGGGGATATGGCTGAGATGGTGTGTTTGAGACTGTATATTCCTGTAGGGCCTCCTATCCAAGAGATTGAATCAAGCAATGGTGTGTTGGGAGGGTTGAGTGGCCTTAGCTCAGGGATGAGGGGGGTGAGTTGTGGAGGAAAGTACCATGTATTAGAGTCAATGAGCTCACTCACCAGTGAGAATCAGTCCTGCTAAATGGATAATGGCCGGTGTCTGTGAAGTGCTGGGTGAGTGGACCTCTTTCAAGCCAAAAATCATACCAAAAGTGGGTAGAAGCACCATTGCTTATCTTGTGTTTGATTAATTTCCTTGCAAGTGGTCTCAACTGCAAGATCTTCCTCCAGCTCCATGAACAGACCTGTGGAATTTTCAATGACCAGAAGCAGTTGATCTTGATTAGGTAGGAGTAGGACCTGCACCAGTGTATCCAAATCCTCTGGTTGATGCCAACTTTGAGCTCCCATATGTGCTTGAGAATGACTGTTCTATTTGCAAATTCCAGATTGAAAAGACCTAGACCTCTGTCAGACTTTGGTTTGCATGCATTAGACCATTTGACTCTGGCCCGTCTTCTTTAAGTTTGGACCAGTCCACAATAATCTTCTTAGCAAGGCATTGAGGTCATTGATCAACTTCTTTGGTAGGATGAAAATGCTTGACCAATACAGTTGGGTGGAGATCACAAGTACAGATATGATGAGAACCAGCCTGTCAGGATAAGATAACCTCTTGGAAGACCAGTGGTGGATCATTGATGTGATCTTCCCTAGTAACATGTTGCAGTCCGAAGCCTCGAGACCAGTGGAGATGAGAGGAATCCTGGAAACAGTTTAATGGGTAGTAATCCAATTTCAACGCCTAGGAAGCTGGAGTATAAGAGCTCAGTTGAAAGGTCATGATGTGATGGAATGGTCTTAGTGATGAATGGGGAGAGAACATCTTGGCCATGATGTGGTGGTGGATTCTCACCTCCAAGATGCTTGAAGAAGCTGAGTACCTCAGCTTTGATGCCCTTATGAGCGATAATAGGATCACCGGTGGAAGATGTGAGGCTAATGATTCTCTTGCTATTAGTCCTTGAGAGGAAGGATTTGTAGAAGTAGGATGTATTAGAGTCACCTAGTTTGAGCCATTTGACTCTTGACTTCTGCCTCATTACATCTTCTTTAGCAAAGAGGAGCTTTGTATATTCAGCAGAGAGTGCTTTTTCAAGGACTCTCAGATCAATGTCTGATGGATTATGGTCCAGGTCAGTCTGCATATATGATTATTTCTTTCTCACCATATGTAGGATACACAGCTAGCCAAAAAAGATTGTTAATCAAATAGAGAACTTATTGAAGCCTCACTAACATTTTCAGGTATCTAACAACCTATTGAATGACCTCTTTTTAGCTCGAGTGGAAAAAAAAAAAAATACAGTTTACAAGAAGTTCCAATTTGAGTTACCAGGGAGCCTTTAGAGCTGATGGTATTAATCTCTCTTTCATAAAAGTATGTTGTATTGGAAAATTTTGTAATTTTATTACACACAATATATAGAGAATTTATCATTTAATAAAATGGCATCTAGAACTAAATTTACAACATGAATTTGAACTTAAAAGTTAAAGTTAACAAGCTTTATTATTTATACATGCAACAATGGAAAAAAATAATGACATAGTTTCAATAAGTAAAATGAATAACACATAAATAAAGTTTATATTTGATATTCATACAAAAATTAAAAAAGAAAAAAAGAAAAAAAAAAAAAAAAAAAAAAAAAAAAAAAAAAAAAACTACCCATTGAGATTGAGAGACGTGCTAGGCACTATCCTAGGATTGATAATTCCTCCTTACGTGTGCGAATTGGCATTAATAGTACCAACTACAAGATTCAATCCGAGTGCTCGTAGGTGGTATCCCTACTAGGCACTTCTGAAGGAAGACTACGTAACCAAGTTGTGTCTTTTTGCTCATAAGCATGCAAAATAATGAAGTGTATACACATAAGAAATAGTACTAGTTTAGAAAAGAGTGAGTATAGTATATATGAGTTTTACAAAGATAGTTAGAAGTAGGATTAGACTATTTAAGAAGTGTGGAGACCAACAATAGCTATGCTAATAAAAATCACTACAGTTCTTATAATAAAATCCACCGTAGCTTTGTATAAATAAACAAAAGAAGAATAAACAAGAGGTCCTATAAGGATAGAGCAAGCCCTAAGGCCAGATGCAATACAATTCATAAAATGCATGAAAACTACTGGATCAATTTTCCTCTGTCAATGATTGTCAAACTGTGCACAAAAGCACAGAACAGAAGAAGCTAATATGATAATGCCCAGGTATGACATCCTGCAAATGCACAGCCCTGCGAGAAAAGCTGTTGAAGATCATCCATATCCCCCATACTTTTTAGATCTGCTCCCCACTTCAACTTCAATGAAGCAATTCTGGCTCCCACACAACTTTTGATGAGTCGACAGTGTGGACAGCATATAATGACTTATCTCTAGATGCTTTAGCATTCCTTTCCTTCCAGGTAAAATATACAGCAGCAGAAAGTAACAATTTGTGAAGTAAAAACTCCTTTGAATTCCAATGTGAACTACACCAATCAATAATGTCAGTCCAGCAACTGGGAAAGACATAAAATCCAGCAACATTTTGTATGAATCTCCAAATCTGGCTACTGAACTAGCATTTAAAGAAGAGATGATCCAATGACTCACTCTCTTTCAGACACAGAAAGCATGCATTAATGTAATGCTTGCTTAACATAGGCTTAGAGTCCAGTGTGTAAAGCCTTTTCCTGAATGCTAACCATGTAATGTGACCATCCTTGGGGATATGGTTCGTAAACCGAATTACATTATGCCATTTGTATGCAATAGAAGGGAGTATGAAATACCTCATTGTGTGACTGATTGAATAAGCTTTATTTGGACCAGGAAGCCATTCAATCAGATCAGGGGAATCAGGAGTAATGTGTAAACTGTGAAGCTGATTGATGAGTTCCAGTGATTGGAGAAACTGTTGATGCTGTATTGTAGGAGGGATAGTCCACTGATTATTGGAAATTAGGCAATCAACTGTGGCATTAATATTGACATTGGGTAAATAGGTGGACTTGGCCTTCTATGTCACTGTTACATAAAACCCAAACAATTGGAGACTGTGTGTAAGCAAGAGGATGTTTATCAGTTGATTTAAGCCCAGCTTCCTTGGATACACTTCCACGGATGATTTATCTGTTTTTATTTTTTATTTTTTTTCTCTAACCTATGCTTCATCATTTCTCTATTTACTCCAGGAATTCATCTTGTTCTCATTTGAGTCCAGATAAATCCATCTTCGAGCTACTTAGTCAACTTCTCAATGGAAATATTGGTTCGTTTGCCACAGAATATCCACAGAACGAGCAGCTAGCTGTTAAGCCTTTTCAATGTAGGTAAATACTTAAAAGAGGAAGTATATAAAACATATGGCACTTGGTTAATACTTTACATGTTCGTGTGTATGTATGTATGTAATTGAAGTGGACGGATCGTGAAATGAGACTATAAAATTGCTTGCATGTAACACACAGAATATTGGGCAGGTGGTGGACCAATCCTTACTAAAGGGAAATGTTGGTCAGTTTGCTGCTCTTCTTTTGGTGACTCGAGAGAAAGTGATGGCTCCAATTGCCATCCCTATAGATGACCTTTCCGAATAGAATTTTTTTCACTGATGGTATCGTTTCTAACTTGAATTAGTTATTATTGTAGTTGCCAAGCTACTATGTTCAATTATTTTTATGTAGATGGTGAAATACTGAGCTTTAGTTCCAAAGGTGACAGAAACTACCCCTCCCTGCCTCGTTATGTTTTAATTTTACTATTAAGTTTAATTTTAGTTTGGAATATGTGCGGTTGCCATTATGAAATATTTGTAATTTGAATTTTATATTAAACTACTATTAATAACACTTTTTGTGTATGTCTGGGGAGGAAAAAAACAGGGGAAAATATTTGGGAGTAATTGGGTGCTCGCAGGTGAAAACACATAAATGGTGGTAGGGATGGGGTGGCAGGACACCCCGGTTAGGCGGTTTTGGGCCGGGGTGGAAAGATACTGTCCCAGAGAACTGCCCCTGTTACCATCCCTAGTCGTCTAGCCTAGAGTTTAGGAACAACTCAGTTTCTAGCAGATGGAAGCCATGCAGCTAAACAAATAAACCCCTTATCACCATCTTGCATGGATTCAACTCATGCGGAAGAAGAGCACAATAGCTATGAATGAAGACGAAAGAATGACTTGATGGATCTCTAAATATAAAGGCATACAAGCCGTAACTCGAAGAAAATAAAAAAAGGCATACAAGCCCTAACTCGAAGACAACTCCATCTGGGATCATCAAGGATTGTGCACTCCAAATTTATGAAACACAAGGACATTCACTATTCGTCAAACACTACTTTTTAATCTAAAATCTAATGTTTGTCTTTCTGGTGTGATTCACTGAATTTGATGAACCCCACAAGGCTATAACTTGATTCTGTGAAAGATTTACGACTTGCCTTTAGAAATGACTGAACAGAATTGTAGAACATAGGACTAAAGGCAACAAAACAAATACACAAGTATCCACACATTGCTGAAAAAATATAGAAATAACATTGCTATATCTTGCTTTATTTTACATCATGAAGAAACAGCAATGTTGTCAAGTTGATACCAAAGGGCCTTTGGTCCAACAGTTTAACCTCCCCATCCTTAAAGATGAGTGGAGGGGTTTGAGCTGTCTACAGGTTGGATATCATGACAATGTAGCTGTTCTCTTCTCTGTATATGGAACCAGCTTCACACTCTTCTTTGTTGCCCCCAAAGCTTCCCAGTCAGAGAACTGGTCCAATTTCCTATCCTAATATTCATTCCAGTACAATGTTATCGATCTGTGATTTTGCTTAATTACTACTTACTCAAATGAAACTCCAAAACAAGAAAAGTCTAGCCAAAATTAAAATTCATCATCCATATATTAAAAAAAAAAAAAAAGAACTTGTATTAAAACAAGATGGACAAATATACACAATTTGACTTTCCATATATTTTTGAAGAAACGAAAGTCACACAAAAACTGCATTCTCTCGTCAAGCTTTGTCATCAATTGTCTACCTCAAAAGCTCTACACAAAATTCATTCATTTTCCTCGTGCAATACTTGAAAATAACTAGTTGCAAAACAGAGGGAACACACACCAACAAAACCACACTTCCTTTTCCAGACTGCACAAACATGATGTATTATATGATACCATATGATGCTTACTGAGATTGTAAGCCTGTATCCCCCCGACCCCACTTTTTTTTTCTCTACTTTTTGTTCAGAACAAAAGCAAGATTGCGAAGTTCCTCAAATGCTTGCATTGTTTCTGCATCAAATCCTCCGGCAAACTGCACCAAATCATTGAAGAGAAAATCAATACAATCGACATTGTTATCATGCAGCGACCAAAACCCACTCTGCTTGTTCTTAGTTGTTGACTAAAAACCAGAATAGAGGTTGCTATAAGTTCATCCACATTGTTAGAATTCTATAGCTTAGAGTAAAAAAATACTCGGATCAAGATGTTCCCATCTTTTAGAAGATCATTTGCTCGGTTTCCTAGAAGATAAGTGAGGTAAAGGGAATAAAATTTTGTAATGTTCTGCAATTCTTTTTGGTATATCATATTGGCAACTAAATGATAAAAAAAAATTAAAAAAAAATGAACTTCTGGTATGTCATGAGTGGACAGTAGAAGAACAGAATTGAATAGTGTTGCTGTTGTTATTTTACAAACCTGATGGATTCGGAAGGCAAATCTCACTCCTTGAAGTAGCATATAATCCATGGCAGAATCTTTGTCCGGTGCCCCCTTGGATTGAAGCTCCATTGCTACCCTCTTCATGTACTTCTTTGCCAACTTGACTGAGCCAAACTTTATCTACAATCAGGTTTTACCAAATCAATTGTTTTTAAAGCCATTCTGAAAACTCTTCACCTAGTAAATGCTGGCTAATGAAAGAAAATAAATTGGAAAATGTAGTTGGCTTCCATAAGAAATCGGTTCTTAAGCACCAGTCATGAAACATGTCACATCTCACATGTCAGATTGTGAATGTCACGACAAGGAAGAGGAAAAAATAACGAAAGAAAACAAAAAAGTGTAGGGTAAAATTATTTAGAACTCCATGACCTGAGGAATCCCATATTAATCTGTTTAGAATATTGTCAAGAATATTTTTTACCATCCTAGGAAACAGATGAAAACCAAGACCCATAGTAAATATTAAGTACAAGTACTCAAGGCTTGAGCCAAGGAATCATATTAAAGCAAAGTCTTTTAAAAGGCCTAGGATATTTCGTCGGTAAATTACACTTTTTTGACCTTTTCCTGTTATCCTATCTAGATTTGCCGTATTCATCACCCATATTATTGATGGAAGGCTAATAGTCCAAGTCATATCAAAATTATATATTACCAACTTAATAATCTTTCTACTCAACTTAACTCTCAAGCCTGATCGATTACAGCAATTCTCCTTCCAAGTCATATCTATGATTTTACAGCTAAATCGAAACAACTTGACAACGTTCTTGGAATGCAGAATTATCCTTATTTAGAATGCAGATTCTTATATAAGGAACACATAAAACCGCAAACTAAGAAATGAGAGTGACAGATAAAAGATGAACCTTGCTTATTATCCCATTGTCAAGCATCCAGTCTGTAGGAATATGGAACTCCTTACAATGACGCATCAATGACTCTCTCGTCCGGAGAAGGTTATAAATGGTGCGTTCCATCCTAGAGTCAAGAAGGAGATTGTTCATAGTTTCATACCTTTGCAACTAGCATATATTTCAATAGCATAATAATTTGACAAACTTTAGAAATGCTAATGGATGAAATTTCAGGCTCTTACTTCTCAGACAAAGCAACCATTTTCTTTAGTGCAATGTCACAGGGCAATCGAAGATCATCCTTGTGATTACAAACTTCATATTCCAACTTCTTGAGATCTCTATAACCGAATGCTGCCTCTCTTAGTGTGTCAGCCTTTTTCTCTGGCCAATCAAAGTGCTTTAGGACTGCCCTTTCATCCACCTTCAAGAGGAGAGAATCCGGATAAGAACCAAAAGAAAAAAGATGCAGATCTCTTAACGTTTTTATATATTACATTGGTCAAGATATTCCATAGAAAGTACAGAAATTTTCAAAGCCTACAAAAGTGTGTAAAATGGGTGCAGAAACAACAATTTCTGGTAAAAAAACTACTAAAAATATCATGTAATTTTTTTATAAATTAAATGTTAATGTTGCTATTTCTTTTCAGTAAACTTTTCCCTTATATTCAAATCATAAACTTAATGATTGCAAGAACGATGCACAGAATAATTAAGTTATTTGACAGTGCAAATGAGCTTACAAGGAAGCAAAGTTCGTCATCAAGCCACTTAACAAATGCGACCACATCTTCAATGTCCTGAAAAACTGCATTATTGACTTCTCTTATAAGAGAGTTCACAAATTCTCCTTGAGTCTCAACATCTGCCTTTATCTACACATGAAAAAAAAAAAAAAGATTAAGCAATGTGGAGAACCACCTTACATAAAATTTGGAATAAAGCAATTCAATGAGTATCTTTCTTGTCCTCCATCTGATTGCCAATAAATTGTGACGAAAAAAAAAAACTCAAAATCTTCAACAACTCCAATACCAACTTGTTAACAATGCCAAGAAATTCACTCTTTTTTCTATGTTATGTTAGCAACTGAACAAAGGATTAATGCAAGACATACATCTTTGGAGCCTATAATTTGTTACTAGCAATATCCTAGCTCTTTGATAATGAAGTTCTTAAATAACAAAGAACAAAGAAAGGGGAAGTACTTACAGCAAGCAAATGTGATGATCGATTCTCAATTTCACCAATCATGCTACTACGAACATTTGCAACATCTGGGACTTCACAGGTTCCTCCATTTAAAGAATCTTTCCTAGAGTCCCTCTTCATAAGTGAATGGTAGAACTCAACCACTTGTGGGGCTCGCTGCACCATTCCTGTATTACCTCTAGCTGCAAACTTCAGAGGAGGTGGTGGGGGAGGTGGAGGTGGAGGAGGTGGTGGAATTTGAGCCGGACCATCTTTGTGTCCGCTAGAAATGGTACAAGAAGGTCTTGGAGGAGGATTAGGAATACGCAAGGCTCGTTTTTCAACATCCAAAGAAGCTGTCAATTTATTACTTTCATGGCAGTTGCTAAAAAAATGGGGCCTTTGGACCACACCCATATCATGCTTTGGAGAAACCGGCAGTTCTTCCTCCTTTTCCATTTCTTTTGAACACATAAAACCATCAGATTGCCTTCTCATATTTTTTAGCAAATCTTCAGCACAGCATCTTGATCCACTTATGGAGTGTCTTCTTCTAGGACTCTCCAAGACAACCCAACTTTTATCTAAGACATTATCAAGGCATTCTAAAGTTGGCAAATCCTCACCAATAACAGGCCATTTCTTCAACTTTTTGATCAGATTTATCCTCTTCTTAGCACTACTATATTCTGAGTTTTCATTACTCTGACAAGAAGACGAGCTAAGAGATTCACTACTCCTCTCAACTGAACTAGGGCTTGATGCCTTATCAGAATTCATGGTTGAGAGATTGCGCAACTCATTCCGTAGACACGAATTGACCCATCTCAGGTAGACAAGCTCCTCAACCTCGTTTAACCTGCTCATTTGTAGACCTTCAACTTGTTTACAGAGATTTTCATTTGTGTGCCTTAACAAAGAAGACTCCGCTTTGATCTTCTCAACAGTGTCACTCTGATCATAATCAAAGTGTTATAAGAAAGTGCAGGAACAGAGTAAGAACAGACTGATAAAATAAAGTCACTTTGCCTACCCAAATCTAAATCAATAAATATATTTGCAGTTTTTAAGACTATGAAGGAAAAAGAACAGAAATCAGAACTCTGAAACTCAAAACTTTCATTGTTTTTAGGAGCATTGAAACAAAATATATACACACACACTTTAGATGCGCCTCATAAAACTATTGGATTTGGTTTGAGCTATCCATGTGGAAACAAAAATAGTAAGAAACAAAATGAGAGGCCAACAGATAAAACAATCACAATTATGCACAGCATAACAGAAAGTGATTACCTCAGAAATTTTTGTGTGAGAGGCCAACTGGGATTCCATGGAATAGAGTCTGCAAGCAAGATTTCTGTTCTGAAGCTGGAGCTCCTTGTTCAGACGCCTCAACTCGACAACCTCCATTTCAGGATTACCCGTAGGTGGTCCTGTTGAAATTTCATGATCATCCTTTTCTGATATATCACTCTTCCTTTCTGAAGCAGAAGTTAAAGGCATCAATTGTTGAGAAAGGCTTGTTTTCTCAGATTCTAGCAAAGCAACCTTCCAAACAAGGTTATCAATTTCACTTTTCTTCAATTCAAGTTCCCCTTCAAGGTCCAAAATTTTTGGATTTCTCTTACATTCGGACAACTCAGCTTGCAGCTTAAATTCCCTTTCCTTTGATTCTTGGAGCAAACTTCTCAGTTGATCAAGCTCTAGCAACAAATCCCGAGACCCAGAAGACTTTGTCCGATGGAAATGAACTGCCTGAGGATGAACTTGTGTAGGATTGACCGAGCATGATAAATCGCCAATGAGAGACCGCTTTACCCGCGAATGAGAAGGCACAAATGCGTTCTTCTGGTTTGAGATATCTGAGCTCGTGAGCGGTGCTTTCTTGGCCGGGACTGTGGTCTGCAACTTGGTTTTCTTCTCTGCTGAAAACCCCTTCACAATGTTGGACCCCCACGAAGACCGTAACTTTGAAGAATTATTGCTGTTGCCTTTGACATTGTTACCCTTTGGCATCTGATTTTGATCAGAAAACCTTGATGCTTTCACTCGATTTTCAGATGGGTTTTCTTCTCTCATTGTGAATCAACAGTTCTTAACTTAGCAATATTTAAATAATCTCAATAAAAATGTTCATCAACAGCTACCTTAAAATCAAAAACCCCAATCTATAGCTCATATAAAATCAATGTTTCAATTTTCAAAATTCCGAACAAGTTTATGAATAAGCCTCTGCAAATGCTAAAAAAACTTACGGCAACCACTGATTAAGGTTTCAAGCTCTAAAACCCATAAAACTAGGGTTTTGCAAAACCCTAGGTTTTAAATTTTCAAGCACTACTTACAAGAACAATCAATTCAAGCTATATAGAACCAAATAAAAGGTGGGTTTCTTCAGAGAAAACCAGTGATAGCTTTGCAGCTGGGTTTGAGTGATTTGGAGCTCACAGTTGAAGCCGTCTCTCAGTCCAACAGCCCAAGAAACAGAAGCTCCGTTCTTCTTGAACCCAGAAGACTATTGCAAGAAACAGAATATGGGTTGCTCTGAAACAAGCTAAAAACTTGGAATAAATGATGTCGAAGACTGAAAATTCCTTCAATCATAAAGAAATCATACCACTGAGAGTGAGAGAATGAGAAAGAGAGAGATTTGAAACTTTTGAAATGGAGTTAATGAATCGTCTCAGGTGGAGCCTGAAAATTGTTGGGTGAAATGAAGAAAGGCTCAAATTTTGAGGGATTGGACCATTGGCTCCTCCGTTGAGATTCTGAGAGAGTTGCGAGAAAAGTGGCACTTTGCAGCTTTCTTTATTGTCATTTGAATATTTGAAATTTGAAAGTGAGAAAGTGAGGAACACGACTACAACGCTGCAACGGTCGTATTCCAGTCCCGTGCGCACGCGTGGGTTATTCAGGTAAATATGTCCAAATACACGTGGCATATTATATTGATATGAAAATTCCAAATCATGCCCTTTATATATTCTTTTAATACTGTATCTAATTGCTATTGTAATTTGCTCTTTTTGCAATAACATTTGGTCGCACTAATTAAAATTATCATTATTCCATCACATGTGTCTTGCCATAATTAATACAATACAAAAGATAAGATGTGTCGCAGAACTAGACCGAGAGCATGAACGTGAAATTAACAAAATTTTAAGTCATAAAATATAGAAAATAGGAGTAAAAGTGCACACAAAATGCGAAAGCAACACCAACTTAAAAAAATTATGTGAATGATGTGCAACCAAATTGGTACAACTTAGGCCCAACCATTTATATTTATTGTTTACTGTTTATTTAAACAAATGTAAAGAAAAAACATGTTTGATAATTTTGTTTTGTTTATAAAAAGTTTGAACACTTGAACAAATAACAAATACAGTAGGACGTGTATTTGCACGTTATCCTTGCTTATATATGTGTGTGTACAGGCAATGACAGATTCAGAAAATTTTGTGAGAGGGGCGGTCTTTTAATTTATGGGGTAAGCTTATATGGTGGGTCCATTTTTGTAATTTCAATGAGATTTTCTTCATATATTTTTAAAATTTTAACGTATAAAATGCAAAAAAAAATTATTCAGTAGGGCAAATTATAATTTTAGTGAGGGCATTTTCATAAATTCTCAAAATTTTAAAGTATAAAATGTAGAAAAAAATAATTCAGTGGGGGCGAATTATAATTTTAGTGGGGGCATTTTCATAATATCTAAAAAAATTAAGGTCTAAAAATTCAACGGGGGCATCCGCCCCCACTGGTTCTATGCTAGGTCTGTGCTTGTGTACGGGTCCTAAGACTTTCTTTGTTTATACCATCACGCATTGGTATCATGTTCCATGTTTCAGTGTGTTTTAATTTCTGTGGTGGGGTCATAGGATCGTTTTTTTTAACTTTAATTGTTTTGATAATTTCAATGCAAGAAGAGTAAATTTGCAATACTGCGAAATGTAATACTTTAAATTTTTAATGGGGACAATTATATGGGACAATTCAAAATGAAAAGGTGGACAATTAAATTTAATTTTTTTTTTTTCCCTTCAATATCTGTTACCATGTAGAGCAAATTTCGAATCTTTTAACTAAGTGACAAGCAAATTTACTCCCTAGTAAATGTAAGTTTCACCTCTTTGGGCTTTTATTGATGTATATATGTGGCAAATTACACAGATCGACACCCTTTGAAATTAGGTCATATGATGAAGATTTTTGTTTTAACTTTCACTTGCACCTCAATTTGCCTTTTAGCCTCTGACACATGCAAATTTACCCTTTTACCCTCAAATTTTTAATACAAAATATATAATCTTAAATGACAAAAAAAAAAAACCCTATATATATATATATTCTCTCTCTCTCCCCCCCCCCCCCTATCCAGCGCATCCCTCAATTTCTCTTAACTTGCACATTCCCTCTGCCCAGATGCTCATCTGCTTCTCCCTTTGTCTAAACCACCGACTAGTCACTCGAGGAGGCATTCTCTCAATATGGCTATGTCGTCGACTCAAAGGTCCGTTAGGCTATGTGTAATGCCCTAATTTTAAAAGGATATGTAACACCCCACATTTTTCACGCATAAGTTGATCAGACTTATACACGAAAAATGAGAGATATCAAAAAAATAATTAGTAATATACAAGCATGGAATACAAAATGATAATAATAAAAGAACTTAGACAGGAAAGGAAAACTCGATAATAAAACATCCATCCATCCTTTATTAAATACAATACTCAGTTATACAACTTGGAAATCCCATGTCAAGGATCCCTATATATAAACTTGAAAGTTCAACATCGGAAGTAAATAAAACTGAAAGTAAAATAATACATGAAACTTTTACCCTGAACAAGACCGTAAGAGTAAATGAGTTCGGATGGTGGTCCCACACTGCTAAGCCTCAACCTTGAAACGGGTACTGACCGTATCTTGAAATAACAACAATGGTGGGTCAACCCCACAAGCAAGTCATCTCTACTATGACCCAAATCAGAGAATCAAATAAATTAATCATTATTATTCAGAAGTATACTATACCTGTATACACCCTAATAAAACTACACAATGTATAATATGACCTCAGCCAGAATAGACGGTGATCACTTAGACTCACACGAGGTGGTTAAGTGTCTTCTTTCCCTACCTGGGAAATCAGCTATTAATACATGGTGCACGGCACTGACAACACAGCCTATAAGTCCTACACAGTGGTAACACGTCTCAAGGTACTAATAAATATACTGAGCATATCACTTAAGCAACACATGTCAATAATATTAAAGCACATACCCCAACAGCCACACATCTGTCTATGGCAACGAATGCATAAGGTATAAATGAGTCTCAACTTATTAGTCAGCTCACATGGTTCTATATGGCAACACATCCATATAAATGCGACCTAATTTATTAAGCAGTCAACTTATTACCTGAAATGCACACAGCATAATAATAATGATTTATATATCATTAACAATATAAATAATCCTGTAATGTATAATGGACAATTTATATAAATTAAATCATGTAATCATTTCATTTAACATTAAATAACAACACAATTAATATTCAAATATGTTATTATAATAATTACGTTTGTTTCATAGCGGTCCGTACTGTAAACCATATAATTAATGTTTGGAAATATTAATCGGACATAATAATAACTAACGGGTAATAAAATAATAATTCAATATGCCGTTAAACCCGAACATATCAACACGAGGCCCAAAAATGCAAGTTTGAAGACTCTGGAAATCATAAAATAGTCCCTAGGGGTATTCTGGACATTTCAAGCTACTGCAAAGGTCCCTCACGCGCCTTCACGCGCCTCCTAGAGCTTCCCACACGCGCTGCCACCTTCCACACACGCGCACGCGCCCCCACGCGTGTCTGGCATCAGCCACGCGTATGCACGCGCGCACTAGTGCGTCCTGCTGACGTGGCGCGCGCTGGTTGGTCAGTTGTACCGTGTCTCCGTGGGCGCGCTACACTGGATTGATCTAAATGATCATCCTCTCATCCAACGGTCCTTGAATTTCGCGTACCATATTATTGTATACCGTGCTACACCAAATCAATCTAGTGATCAAAGGTTAATCTATCGGCCACTAATGTAAGCACATAGTAACCTTTGTGCGCTGCATTACACCGGATTACTCCGGTCATCTTCCCCACTGCCGGTGATCGGAATCTCGTCGGAAAATTCACCGGAAATTACAGAAAAATCCCGAAAAATTCCAGAAAATTCTAAAAAAAAAACCTTAAAGCCTTAAATAATTATTTTTAGCTATAATTAATTACATAGGCTAATAAATAAATATCTACCACCTTTAATAATTCAAATTTCATTATTTTAATAAACTAAGTATTAATTTATTAAAATTCCTAGCATGGTTTCGATGCTCCAAAATAACCTAAATAAATTGAATAATTAATTTATGGATTCAAAGGGAAAAAATAAATAATAACTTGCCTCATGGATTTGAAACAAATCCGTCGGTTGCGTATAGTCGGATTAAATTCTTCTTCACCAGTTCAAGGCCACCTCGCTCACTTTTCTTCTCTTTCTCTCTTCTACAATAACTCTCTGCTATTTTAATTTTTTTCTATCTTCCGTTCTCATCAACCAAGCAACTAATATATATACTAACTTATATAATATAAATACTACAAATATCTAACTTATAATAAATACCAAAACATTCCTACCTAATTTTAAGTTAATGACTTGCTATGAAGTCAACCTATTTGACCGACCATTATGCCATAGCAACTGAAGTCCTATTCTCCCATCTAATATCTAATAACATGTTTTAATACTATTATTCTTATTATTATTATTATTATTCTTATTATTATTAATACACTACAATACCAAAGTAATACTTTAATTAACTAATATTAATGAATATAAAACATAACCAATAATATTAATTTAATAATTTAGCATACACAATTCAAAAGTGAATAAATATACACATTAAATAATTAACCTAACACAAAATTAATTTAAATAAACTCTTTAAAAATACAGGGTATTACAGGATAGTCTCGGCATTTTTATTATTATTTTCTTGCATATTTTTAGCATTTTTAGTTGATTATTTGCTTATTTGTTATTTGCCTATTCGTTTAATTGTTGTTTTTATTTAATTGAATTGATTGTTTAATTGTTTATTTAATTGTGTTTTTATTTTCCTTAATTAATTGTTTTTTTTTAATTGAATTGTTTATTTAATTGTTTTGTTATTTTCTTTAATTGGATTAAATTAGTTTTAATTGTTTATATGGTTTTATTAGTTATTTTTCTGTAAAATACGCTTAGGTTGTAGTTAATTAGTTGTTTTTAATTATTAATGTAAAAATAAGGTTTTATTTTTTTATATCAGGTTTTGGGCCGACTAGGGTTGAGATAGGTTTTTCGTCTCCGATTATAATTGGACCTAGGTTTTAGTTTTGCCTATAAATATATGTAATAGTTCTGTCTAGGATTTTTGAACCCAATTCGTGACAGTGGAGGTAGAGAGAGAACAGAGGAAGGTTTTACAGTAATCGGAATTCGTCGAAAACACTTAGGAAGACGACGCTGAGATTTTGAACCGAAATCTCATAGGCAAGTTTTATAACTATCTCTCTCCCTTTGGCTCGTGTTTTTTACATGCCTAATCAATGCTAGGAGTAATTGAATATTAAAACTGACTTTCTGTGCCTGTTGAAATTGATTAAGACGATATGTATGTTAACGATAGTT